TTCTCCCTTATTTTTATAGAAATCATAAAATGTCATTGGATAGTGCTCTGCTTTTAATATCAAAGGCTGGATACTAGTGTTTTCAGTTTTGTAACACAGGAATAGAAGAAAACATAAAGAAATTATACAAGAAAATTGATACAAATAAAATATTAGTTACAACCATTTTGTCATAGAGATGCCTTTGGAGAAAAAGTCACAAGAGAACATGAAATGTGTATTAAAACTTTGTTTATGGTAACATTACCTAAATGTCATAATTTAAAAGTTAATATGATTTTACTGTTGATTAATGAAGAAAATATACCTACTAATAGGCTTGTCAATTGCATAGAGTGTAAGATCCTATTCTTGTTAGACAACTCAACTAGGTTCTCATCATTTCCATTATATATGCTTTTATTGGGAATTCAGTGGATATTGCATAAAAGGTTATGATTTGGGCCTAAGATGCATAAGTGGTGGTCCTAGCCTGAAAGTAATCACTGTGTTGATTTATGAACAAAAATCACCATGTAATTTGCCAGTGAACATGCTGTACTCAAAGCAACTATATTGGCTTAACAGAACTTAAAAATCAGAACAGCATAATAATGCAATTTTATTCACATGAGTATATTGCAGAAAATTGCTCATCACCCCTGATAGCTCTGTTTATATTTTTAGTGAGTACAAAGATTGCTGTTGCTACCATAGTCAAAATTTGATCTGGATATAAAAATTTAATTCTGAGAGGAAATTTAGTGGAATAAGTAGGAAGGAAGTGAGCCAGGGATAGAAATTCAATAGGATCCCTATGGTGATGGTAAAAGTGAATTGACAGCCTATAAACAAAAAAGCACAGTGATTAAACACGTAGTCCTAACACATCTATTTCTGTATTAGAGCAGATGAAATGCCTGTTGACTGTTGCCTTTTAAATTTCCTTTTCTTTCCTCTTAAGGTCTTTCAAACAGCAATAAATCTTACAATACTTGTAAGACTTCCACAGCCCATTATTTAGACATACCTGGATCTTATTCTTTCCGTTGTACTTGTATTGCAATGTGTTCATTTTTAATATGTTTAGTAATTCAAATGAAAGGAAATAATCTCATAAATTTTATGGATCTAAGCAAAATATCAAATGCGTAAGAAAAATGCAAATTCAAATTTGACTAATCAATTATTCACAACTTTTGAATTATGAGGGACATTTAGGTTTATTTCCTGCATCCAGATTGTTATTTAATGTATATTTCTTTTATGTTTATTTTTAAGATTGTATTTTAAGTACAGCATTTCTCCCTTCCCTTTCACCCTTCAATGCCCTTCCATATAACCCTCTTTGCTCTCCTTAAAATTAATGGCCTCTTTTTATAAATAAAATGTCCACATTGTATTTTATCGGTGTGAATGTAATTGTTTTGTATATGTATATATGCTACAAAAAATATACTCTATGTACTTATCAGATACTGAAGAGTTCTTTTTGGGTATAAGTACTTTACCAGAAACAGTACTTGGTAGACAATAGGTACTGTCAACAGAATTTGCACATGTTACGTGGTTGGAATGATTTAATTGATTTCAAGTAATTTAGTGTATTCAAAAATGGATGTTTATTACTATTATACTTACAGAGAAATACTAGATACATTTTTACTTATTTTATTTTAATGTTATAATATTTCTCTTATTTTAATGTCTTAATATGTTTATATAATTTCTTCTAATCATATTTAATAGAAAAATAAAACTTCATTTCGACCTAAATTATCTGAGTTTGGATAAGTGTCAAACCAAAAGTGAAATTATCTATGGTCATCTTGTTCAACAAAATCTTAGCAGAATAAATATATTCTTTAGATTCTTGAAATTGTTTTAAAAATAAGATCATGTCAAATCTCAGTTTGTATGCATGTGAAAACCCATTTCATTAAGTTATAATTATGAGTGTTGTGAGTTCTGAATTATTTCACATATGTGTATATTTAGTATCATCTCCTTGCATACATGCATAGAGTCCTCGAGAGCTTTTGGAAATGTCTTTAATGTATCCTCCTGCATAGTCAAATAAAACATACCAAATCATAATACTCAGTATTTAGCTGGTTGTATATAAAATACATGTACATGAAAGACAGAGATCTAAAGCATTAAAGCTAACATCTACTTATAAGAGAAAACGTGATGATATTTGTCTTTTATTTTCTGGATTGCTTAGAATGGTTGTTTCTAATTTGATTTATTTGTCTGAATTATTTTTTGAGAGCAGGTGAATTATCACAACTCTGTGGATGTAGCACATTTCCTTTATTCATTAATGAGTTTTGGACAACTAGGATGTTTCCAGTTCCTATGATAAACAGAGTGTCAGTGAGCGTTGATGAGCAAGTATGTCTGTAGTAGATGAAGACTTTTTGGGTATATTCTCAATAGTGGTTTAGCTGTGTTATGTGGTAGATTTACTTTCAGCTTTCGATGAATTCCCATGATGATTTCCTAAGTAGTTCTACCAGTTAGCACTTCTACCAGTAATGACTAAGTATTCCCTTTCCTTACATTGTCAACATCATCTCATGTCATTCATTTCATTAACTTTGTATATTCTTTATTTTCATATTTTAAGTTTATGATTACTATATTTCCCCCTTTCTTTTTCCTAACTCCATACCTTCCCAAGTATACTCCTTGCTCGCTTTCAAATTTTTGGACATTTTTGTTAATTGTTGATGTTGATGATGACGGCAGTAGTGGTGGTCATGGTGTGTGTTGTGTTTGTGTGTGTTTGAATATATATATAATTATTCATATTCCTTGGTGTGAGAGGTCCTTCTGTCTATGTGTTGCTTTCATTGTTTAATGAATAAAGAAACTGCCTTGGCATGTTGATAGGACGGAACTTAGGTAGGTGGGGAAAATTAATTGGCATGCTGGGAGAAAGGAGGCAGAGTTAGGGAGAAACCATGGAGCTATCAGGAAAAATGACAAATATGGAATCCATATGTGGTACTGTTAGTGAAGCCAAGAACTGGAGACTACATAGGTCATGAGCCCTACAAGAATATCTACTACTATTATCTGCTAAAGGAACATAGCGAAAAACTGGCTCCTAATGACCTATTACTGTATACAGAGATCAAGGTATCATTCAGCACTTACCAGAGGGCTTTCTTGCAGGATATGGTAATTAACACGGAGTCCCACAGCTGAACAGTGAGTAGAGTGTGACAAATTTTGAAGTGCTTAGTCACAAATGGAAAATCTTTAACATAGCCCTACCCTCACACAGATTCTCAGCAATCTATGTGGAAATAAGTGACAAGACAGTTAGGAGAGCCAGAGTTGGAGGACAGTTTTAAGGAAACAGTATTTTCCAGATAAACATGGCAGATGCACATGGAGTGGGGGAGGGGGCAAGGTGTGGGAGGAGAGGGAGGGAAATGGGAAATGGGGAGGAGGCAGAAATTTTTTTTCAACAACTAAAAAAAAAAGAAAGAAAAAAGAAAGAAAGAAATCACAGAGACTGTGATCTGTAGAAGTTAAAGGCAGACAAGATCTCAGATGAACAAGGTAAAATTGGCACTTGTCCCTGTACTGGACAAGAAGCTATTAAAAATAAAAGTTTCTAAGTGGGAAAATAACTTTTCTTCAATGGAATGACACTAGGTATATAAATCACACTCCAGGACAGACTCCACCCTCGTGATAAGTAGATGGTCAGCACAAATCAAACTTTGATTTTCAGTGGCTTCATTTTTTCTTTCTTTTTATTTTTTTTAAAAAGAAAGAATATGAAATTGTATGGGTATGAAAATGAAGAAGATCTGAAGGAGCTGAAGGATGAGAAATAATGTGATATAATATATCATACTATACTCATAAAACTAAATAAAACTTTAAAAAAAACACAAACCTGTAATGTAGAAGTGATATAAATGGAATGGAGAGAAAATTCAGAGGGAGATTTTTCTATAATTTTCCAAGTTCCTTGAAGGAAGTCATTGGGCTTTGATCACTTAAAAAGGCAAGCCTCTATAAAATGATGTTGTGTACAATAAATAATAAGTATTTTTGGATAAATAGATACATAATTTGTCAATGATTAACTATGATTTAGTTCATAAATGATGTTACTTGTCTGATACAGATATTTGAGAGTTATACAAGAAGTATCCTCAGGCAATGGTATTTCCCTTCAGTGAACTATTATTATGTGCTAAATTAGTCAGAGGTAAGCATCTAGTTGGACCCGTGTAAACAACAAAAACAAAACAATATTCAGTAAAACAACTTGCGCTTCTTTGTCTCAGTCATTGTACAATTCGCAGACCATTTCCACATAGGGAAGGTGAACAAGGCAATAAAAATTAATTATATAGGCTTCTTACTTAATAAACACATAGCAAAAAAAAAAATTCCTGATTGCACTAGGAAAAATGGCGGTGCAGCTATATGCCACTGACTTCCACAATTTTGTCATTTTGCACACAATCAAGTAAACAAAAGACAAGCATGTAAATACAATAAGAAACAAGTGAACTATTCATGTGATAAGAGCTTTAACAAAAAAATGTAGATAGGAAGTTTCTGAGTTGAATCAACCAGTACTCACAGTTATCAGTGGAGGACGTTATGAAGAAATTTCATTTAATAGTAAAGTCTGCAGTTTACTTAGATGGAATTTCCTATTGGGATTCGATGGAACCTGTGTCAACAAGCTTACATACCATTAAGAAAGCGGATGTAGGGTCGTTTATACTCTTGGTTAAGAACCATCACTAGAATTGAAAATGCTGTCATTAGATGGCTAATACCTGGGTATAAACACGAATGTTTTCCAATCCATTGTAAAATTGTATTTTTGGACACCATTTCTTTACCCACTTCAAGCAAATATTAATACAATCTCCTACTCTTTATCAAGAAAATTTATGTAACAGATACAGCATAATTTCATGTGTTCTGATTGCAGCTATGCTTTGATTTGATTTATGTGTTTTATGAATGTTTCCTAGGACAGTCCACTGGTCTTACAGTCTGACAGGAATGTAACAGTGAACGCAAGAAACCACTTGGGGCAGCTCACTGGACAGCTGGCAGTCGGTGAGTGTTCAGAGGTAAAGTCTGTTCATTCTGTCTTACTCCATTTTAGATTCTGTGGTCAAGCTGAAATATATGAAGTGTGTTCCTTCTCTAATTCTTTACTCCTAAGTTTCAAAATGTATTATTTTAATTGAAATATTTTCATAGTATATCAAAATAGGTTTAGAAAACACAGGCGGTAGCTTGCATCACATGCTTGTATATCCTTTGATATTGTGTATTTTTGATGAATATTACATATCTATAAACAATCGTAAAATTTTTGACTATAGTAAATATTAGTACTTCCTTTTTCTGATGGACATTTTTGTTAAGATTATATATGAAGGATTTGGTGTCTGAAAGACAAATTAAAGAGAAAGAATACCAGAACTTCTGTTTGTTTACTTCTTTCGCCTTCTGAAATAGAGTGTCACATAAACTAGACTGCCCTCAAACTGGCTGTGTAGCTGAGGATAAGCTTGAACCCTTGACCTCTTGACTCCACCTTTCATATTCTGTTTATGCTATAAGCACTGCTGGGGATTTAACCAAAGGCTTCCTGCATGCTAGGTAATCTACCAACTGCAAAAAATCCTCATTCCTAAGTGGTTTCACTTGTGTTATCAAATAAATTTTAATTTAGCTATTGACATTTTATCAAAATAGCACGTGTAATTATTTCACTCCATTTTTATAAGAAAAAACACAAATCAAACCTCAGTTGTAACTATGTAAAATGATGCTTATTTGATATGCATTTAATACTAAAATATTTTGATATAATATATATGGCCTATGATAAAAATCGCACAATACTATCATTGTTTCATTCATGTTTATATTGCTATTATTTGCATTTCTATATTTAGCTGCATCATCTATTATATGTGTGATATCACAGAGTGGGAAATGGTTAAGTTTGAGGAATTAATTATCCTGTTTTAGTGAGAAATTAACTTTTCAATATTTCTAATTGAGAAATAATATTTACAAAATATTTACTATTTATAAGTATCTACCCTCTTTGCAGAAATATAAGATTTTTGATATATTATATGCTTTAATAAAGTAAAAGAATTAGTTTGACAGGAAATATCTATTATTTGTTCAATAGCATATTTTGTGATAAATTAAAATAGATTACTTAGGAAAAAGGGCTTAGATTCACATCGGAGCACAGGGCTGTGCTCCCAAAGTCCAGTCGAAGAGTGAAAGTAAGAATATGAACAAAGAGGTCAAGACCATCATGGGGACACCCACTAAAACAGCTTACCTGAGCTAATGGAAATTCATCAACTTCAGCCAGATAGAGAAGGATTCAGCATAGGACTAAACTAATCCCCAAAATGAGGGTGACTGTTGCATGGCTGAGGATACTGAAGCCATTGGCAGTGGGACCAGGATTTATCCCTACTGCTTATACTGGCATTTTGGAACCCATTCCCTTTGGATGAATACCTTGCTCAGTCTGGTTGTAGTAGGGACTGCCTTGATCCTTCCTCAAAGCAATGTGCCTTACCCTCTCTGAGGAGTGGATGGGAGTGCGGCGTGGTGAGGGGGAAGGCAGAGAGGATGGGAGGAAGTGGGAATTGGAATATGTACTAAAATTCGAAAAGATAGTTTGTTTTTGTTTTGCTTTTAAATAAAAAATAGAAAAATGAAAGGGGGCTTAAAGTAATTTGACTAAAAATTAAAGGAATAAAATATTTCTGTGCATTTGTAAGTGTGCCAAAATCATCAAACCATCGATGGCAATGGCAATGGCAATTTGTGATCATTTTGAAACTGTACAAGATGACCTGAAGAACTGGGTCTAAGATGAGGACATTCCCCAAGTCAATATTTACTCATAGTTAAAACTACTTAGTAGAATAGAAATTTCTATTCCATTCAATTCAAGATAGCTGAAGTGGTTCTTTGTGGAATTGTCAACAGATAAATTAAAAACATACAGTTTGCACACATTGCAAAATCCACAGTCAAATAATAGTTGCATGATTCCTGCCTGTGGCATGAAGCAGCTGTTTGATTACAGGGTGTGTAGACAAATTCCATCTGCATGCTTTTATGCATGGAATACAAAGAATATATTTTGTTTGCATTTTAACAATTCTTGCAAATTCTTTCAATGTAGTATTAATAGTATTCAAATGAGAGAAAAGAGAAAAAGAGAGGGAAAGAAAAGATGCTTAATTTTTATGAATAATTATATAGCCAATTAGAAATACATTTAAATAAAGAAAACTAACCTAAAATCTGGTGATTTGAGCACACTGTTGTTGAATCCTATATTTTTAATTTCCTTTGTAACTGCCAATAAACAAAGATAAAATGCATATTAACTTATAGAGAGTAATAATATAATAAATGATCTTGTATATTCAGATGTGGTGGGGCACCCTTTGAATCCTTGTACCTGGCTGTTGGAGGTAGACAGATATCCTATAGCTTAAGGTCACTCTGTCTAACAATCACAAAGGCAGAGGATGAAGCTAACTGGTTTTTCACTCTCTCATGACATTATCCAGTCTATACATAAAGGACTCAGATAGAAAGATAAAAGTTTAACAAAGAAGAATCTTAATAATTAGAACTTATTTACAATTATTTCAAAGCATTAGGTAACCCCCCCCCCTCACTTGAATGTCGGTAGTGACTCTTGAGGAACTTCAATGTCTATTTGTACAGTTCTGTGTGATACACGTAGTGATACTTGCCAGCATGCCAAGTCTGCATCATTATCTGAGGAAACAATTAGGTAATTTGGCATGTAAGAACTGGAATATCATTTTGGATATTTCTTTTTTTAAGGGGTGCCTAAAACCACAATTCTGTGCTTCAAATAGCATCTTTCCTTTTTTTTTTTCTTTATTTTTAATCAATGGAAAAATGAATTCTGAAAGAATTAGCCTCTGGCCACTGCTAGTGTAATTCTCAAGAATTATTTAGTCACATTCTATATTGCTAATTTCCAATTAATAAAAAAAGTGGTTTTATACCCTATTTTGAGCCGATTTTCTCATTTTCAGCTATTATCAGTGATTATTGTGGGAATATGACCCTGGGTTTTTCAATAGGCTAGATTTCATGGCAATAAGAAAAAACTAGGTACCATTTGCAAGATAATAAACAACGTGATATTTGTATTTAGTACAGTTTTCTTCTTCCTTCTATTTTCCCCCCAGTATTCTAGTTCATGCTTGCAGTTTTAAACACCACACAGTCTAAATGTCATGGCAGTCAGCTCCTGTAGCAGACTTGATTCTGGCTAAATCAGAGGACTAAAGAAACTTTTGCCTTTTCTATCTAGGCATTCTTAGGAGGGAACCAAACTCACAGGACAGGAATAATAACTCACCTGGTATAGAGATTCAAGATAGAAGTTCAATGAAAAACTGTTAAAAGGTGTGTAGATATGTAAAGCTTCACTAATCATAATATTACAAGTAAATTCATGTGACTTGTACTATATATAAAGATGCTACAGAGAGTAATTTCTAGTTTTAAAGGAAATATGGTTTAACAGTTAACAGCATTTGGTCAACTAAATTCTCCCCATGTGAGGCCCAGAAGATGGAGGAACCTCTACTGGCCTCTCATGCTCATAATGCAAGGATACACCTCCTACGACAGATTCAGAAAATAAAATATAAAGTTCCCATGAAAGGTTTGAAATGTTCCCTGGAATATAGTATTGTTGTATTTATATAAGTGATCAAAATTTTCAATAGATCTACACACAAATAATGCTGAACACTTGACCGAACCTCTGGGTGTTCCTAATGGACAAAATAACTGTATTATGCTAGACTGTCTCCATGTCTCTTCTCCTCTAGGTTAAAAGCAAAAGATTACTTTTTACCTTTAGTGTGGGAAATTGTTTGATGAACCTTCTGATAACTTACACTCCTCAATGTTCAGTGATCCTAACAAAAATGACCTTGTCTTTTTTCATGCATCTTAGATTCATGTATGCAGCATTTTTTAGTCAAGAATGTAAAACTAAGTCAGAATCCTAGATATTCTGTTTTTTTTTCAATTCTTGGCTCTTAAAAAGGATTTTAATTGAGATTTCATCCACAGAATAATTCAACGAGGCCAATTAAATTTCTGTGTGTCACTACTAAACATCAGCATGTTTTGTGCCTAGATGAATGAGAAAAATGTAGATGAGGGTTTTATAATAAATATTTAAAGACCCATAAAATGACATGTAATCTTGTGTTACAGCAATTACCATGAACACCTGGGAATCATTTAATTGACTGCAGATGGGGTAGGACAGATAAAAAGTAGAAGGATACATATTACCCTCACGTAATAAATTTATGGTTTTTGTCCTTGGCTTATTTTCACATGACTTAGACACATTGTGATTGTCTTGGACAATTTAATAGGAATGCATATCATCTTTAAAATAAGCTATGGGAATCTTAGGGAAGAGATCAAAGATGAAATCTATTCAGGTTTAATGCTACCTGTTAATTTTAAGTGATTAATGAGTTGTTGATTTTGATCATTATTAATTGTTTAATTATACCATTAATATTAGTTAAGTTGATGTAAATCAGTTTAAAATTAATTAATCATTCTGGAAAGGATGTAAGTGGAAACAGATGCCTATTATATTCAAGAGCAAGATGATAGGCTTAGAAATTAGGATGTTTAATTTAAGGAACTTGAAGGAAAAACACTGACATTCAAGTTCTGAAAAGTTTAAAAGCGAATCGTGAACTATTACACGAACACTCACATTTTTATGTAATGTGAAACTTTCACAATGTTTTTGCAATTGTGTTATTTTAAAACAGAAAAGATAGGCTTACCCAAGTATTTGTTAAATTATCACTTTAAAAAAATAAAAGCATAGAATCAGGAAAATAGGTATCTTTTTTTTTTTTTTTTTTTTTGCTACAGTTGGACATACAGAGTTTTGGTGGCTGCTTCTTAAGCTCTGTCTTCTGTCTTTCCAGGCTACCCAGTCTCTTGATTTATCACCGCAGGTCTGCTAGCCTATC